CCTCCTTAAAGACCGAGTCCATAGATATGTCTCGTTCGAGCACCTTCACGTCGCATTGTAGTCCTTGAAAGTCTTTCGTATGCCTCTCAAAGTAGTCGTGTATAGAACAACTGCGTTCTGGCCACAATGCGGGCACTTTCTCCTGTAGGACTCAAGAAAAGCTTCCGATTTGCGTAAAGCTTTCGACTTTTTCAGGCTTTGATTCTCCAAAATCATTTTCTTGATCTCTTCTTCGGTTCTTCCTCTTCGGATACCTCCCTTTCGAACTCGGCCAAGAGTTCCAAGTCGAACAACAGGCCAAGAATCCTCCTTCCGGACAAGAACCTCATACTCTCGGATCTTTTAACACTCGAGCTACCTTTGATCGAGGCCCACAGTCTAGGAGACGGCTTCTTCGTGCCCTCCTTTCATGAATTATTAAAGTTTAAATCTTTGAGAACTGCTTTCGGGCTACTTTTCAATCGAGCCCGCGTTCGACCGGCCTTTATTCTCCTTGCCCGCGATTTTCTTTGCCTTTCTCGGGGACCCACTTGGCTCAAGAACTTCATCGAGCTTCCGGGCTCGATTCCCGTTAGGCTGCTGGTTAAAGTCCCCGACTTTAGGCTTTTTCGGCCCGCCATAAGCTCCCATGCGTTGATGACCTCAGCTGGAGGATCACGGAAAGGCGACATTTTGCGGGCCTCGATAGAAATCAGGCTATTCGTTTATCTGAATAGACTTTCAAGAAGATTGCCATAAAGCTAATATAACATCTGTAACCGGAGGTAGTAGTATGAACCATTTTTCTGGAGCCAAAACCCACTAGAAATTGAATCAACAAATTAATTGCCATATTTATTAAATTTTTTTGTTGTTTTCCAAACGATTAAACATTCATACCATGAAAACAAGAAAATACAGAAGAAAGCAACAGATACAACCAAACCTCTAAACAGCAAATTAGAACCCCAAAAGTAACAGCAACAACTAAAAGCCTGAGGAGGCATGCACCCACACTACTATTTCACTCGCTCACTACTACTTTACTTGCGCGGCATGGTGAAGTTGATCCAACAGCCGAGGGTGACGGCCAACAGCAGCCAAGCTACCACCACCGACCAAAAGAGGTCCCATCCGAATCGGGTGGACCACTTGAGGGTGGACACCAATTTTCCAGCTCTTTCCTTGCCATTGGACCTGCTCTCCTCCCCGTTGATATACGCATCGAGGTCGAAATCGGGAAAGGTGTTGGTAGCCGTGCTCCGAGCTGTCTCGGCGATCTTGCGCGCATGGTTGGCCACATTCCGAGTATCGTTGGCCTTTTTCTGAGCAGCGAAGGACCTTTTCAGAATCTCAGCGGCCTCATCCGCAGGCATATTAGCCTCAGCCTGAGCGGTTGTTGGAATGGCTTCCTCATATTCAATGGAAGCAGTTTGAGCCAGTAGTTTGGCATACCGAGCGGCGTCGGCCGTGATGACAGCCTTCTCGATAATAGAAGCTACAACCACAAGCCCGGCAGCATCCCTTGTAACTGGTTCGGTGGGGGTTTTGTCCAGCTCGCCATTTACCAGCACATAGCACCAAGTCGCAGCAAGCCAGAGATTGTGAGTCTCTTTGCCCACCGTGTAGGCATCCCACTCCATGTGAGCAACGAGCCTCCTTGTTGTTAGGATTACCATGAGTAACATTAGCGTGTACGTGACGGTGACGAGCGCTGTGATCACATACCCATGGACCTTGTTGTGGAGATAGTACCCAATGAAGAGTCCCGCGGCCAACATTGTTACACACACAGATGTGCACTGGACAAAGAAACTCACAAATTCCTGGTATTTACCCAGGAGTTTTGTTTGTTTCTCCATCAATGTCTTCCTTTCATTTTGAAGGGCATTCAGAGCCGCAGTGAGGTGACTTCCAATCACCGGAGGGAGTGGGGCCCGCGGCACATCGGCCTCGACTTGGGGTAGAGGTGGAAGTGGTGGTGATTCGTGGCCCTCAGGTGAAGAATGTGGCTGCCGATTTTCAGGTGAAGACGAAATGTTCAACACATGTGACATGTGCCATTTCTGTTTTGATTTTCTTTTTCTTTTTCTTTGAAAGAGGAGGACAAGTTTGGAGTGGGGAGAGATAAGGAGAGGTTGGGCGGTATTTATATACTACAAATATATATACCACAAGCCCATTGTTTTCTCAATTTATGTTTGCAGATAAATTCACTTGCATTTATTTAAGTTTGACAAGTATTATTTTTGTGGATATTACTTGACTATAATTTTGACATCAATCAATGATCTTATAAAATCTTAAATAATGTAGTCACCAACTAAGAGATGCAAACATTTCGTGGATAGGACACGCCCATCAAGTCATGCTCGATCCACGGAACAACACCACAAGGCGGAGTAGAGAGCTGGTGACACCCCAGAGCTGCCGAAGCCGCCAAAGTTGCTAGATAGTCCGCCGCAAAATTAGCCTCACGGAAGATGTGAGAAATCTGCACCTCTCAGTCACGACTAAGGATCTCACGTATCCCCAGGACTAACCCGTAATGAACCCCTGCTATCTCCTCAGTATTCATAGCGAATCCCACGACTCGTGAATTATCGACCTCAGCCTCTACCCTGCGGTATCCCAGATTTCATGCCAAAGTGAGACCCTGATATAATCCCCATAATTCAGCCCCGACAATAGAACATTCCCCTATCCGCATCACAAAACCACCGAGCCATGCACCATGGGAATCACGAATCAACCCACCCGCCGAAGCCAAGCCTGAGGAGCCATTATGGGCCCCATCCGAGTACAGATAAATAATCCCATTTATGAATAACATAAAATTAAATAAATAATATAAAATGAAATAGGGTTAGGATTTGGGTGAATTTCATGACGTGTCTTCACGAGCACTTGAGGATATGTCTAATTTTGTGTGAGATGTCATTTTATTTTCTGCTTATATTGTGAAACTTGTTATATCCCATTACAAGGTTTTGACCATGTTTCGTATATCATTTTGGAAAAACAATAAAGTATATGCAAAAAGTGAGACACGATTTTTACTAAGAATACTATTATACTTAACAGCAAGAGCAAGGTAACAAGGTTGACCATATATATATATATATACTAGATTGGACTCGGTTGTGCACGCACAGCCGGCCCTAGTAAAGTCTATAATTATATCTAGTATTTGTAAAATTTGTAAACACACTTACCCACATTTTATGGAGCAACCAAAATGCCACTATTTATTTTCAATTAAATATTCCACACTTTTTTTACAACAAAATATTTATATTTATTAAATTAGTATTTTTATCGCATCAACTTTAATTATTATATTTTATTTTTTGTTTGTTCAAAGTGTTTTCACAAATATTTTTTTTCAACAATTTTTTTACCACTCTTTTGTCTCATTTTGTTTGTAGTATTTTCATCGCTTGATTTAAGTTTCTTTTATTTCATATAATAATCTTATTACTTGATTAACTTTCAATTAATTTCTATGTCTTCTTGTTGCACACAATATTTGACAAATTTACATATTAATGGTAAATTGAATTTTTATTAGATACTTTTAAAGAGTATTTTTTTGATTCGTTTTCTTATGTTAACCAATACGAAGCATAAAATTTTCAAAATTACCTACCTTACAATCTACAAATTAATACAATACATGAAAACTAAGTTAAAATTAGCCCACAATCAGAATTTAAATGATCTTATATCTACTGATCTTAGATACTGAAGCCCTGGTAAACAACAAGATAAGCTTTGTGACTGGTAGAAAACAAAGCACCTAAACATGACGGCAATATATGCAACGATTATGGCTTATGTGGACTCGTTGTGCATCTTAATGAAATCATGAGAAAACTCAAGGCACGTATGAACACCATTTGTATTGACTTAGTAAAAACCAACAAAGATAAAAGAATCAAATGAACATTAAAGATGGAAGGGTATTATGTCTTACACAAATTAACTGCTTCTGACGAAAAATCATAACGGAAAAGCAAATGAAAATAGAAGAAGGCCGTGAACAAATGAGAATAGAAGAAGGCCGTGAACTTCTCAAATGGAATATGGTGTTTCCAGCTCCACACCCAACCTAGTAAGCACCAAATTCTCGTATTCACCAATCGATTAACCATAACAATGAAAATCTGAATTCCTAGAGTGTGGGAGTAAAATGTTTTTATGATATTAAGTATCACCAGGACACGGATAAATAATCCACAAAATAAGAAACAAATGAAAAATCCCAAAAGGTGGATACATCAAAACCACACCTCTAGTATCACCCGTCTTCCTCCTCTTGGAGAAAAGAAAACAAAAAAAAAAAAAGAAAGAAAGAGTAGAAGGCTGATAATTATACAGCTTATTAGAGTTAATAGTAACATGCTATCAACTTTTCGCACTTACAAAAAAGTGGTGTCCCCATTATTTGTCCAAATAGTGACGATCCTTAATGAACTCCAAGAAACGAAGAAATTAGCATATGAATTCAGTAAGCACGACTACAGACAAAAATGCCTACAAACGAATATAACCACACTATATAAACACCAATAGAGGTCAAACAAACATTAACTTGTCAGTGAGTGGATGGGAGTTCAAAAAATTGACACCGGACAACAAATTGAAATGATAAAGGACAAAAGCTAGCTATAACTTCCAAATGATGCTTAAACCAAAACCAAATTTGTGCCAGGACTGATATTTATGAAGATATGCGGCTAATTTGGTTTGCATCAACACATGTTCTGCATGAACATACTGTACATCACAAAATTCTTGCCAAGCGGCCAGTATGTAGTTAGAATGGTTTTTCCGGAAATAAGCAAAACTCATACACAGTTCACAGGCTTATATTTAGTTAAGATCATATACTTGTACATACATAATACAACCATTTTTGGTAACTTAAACACTACTGTGACTGCATATTTAGAGACAGATAGGTAGTCTTTATCCAAGTGAAATGAAATCACATATAAGTACCCGTGAAACCAACAACAACAACGATAACAAATGTAACAGCTAATGGCAAACGTAACATGAATCAAGTGGATGTGGAATCTCAGCCATTACCACATCAGCAACAAAACCAACTACAACAACAAATGGTTCCACTACAAGACAGTTACATGCAGAGCAGAGCCTGGGCTGTTTAGAATGTGAAGTCAACTATTCATGAGCCGAGCAGTATCTTTAATCAGATAGTAACGTTAGTCTCCCAGCAAGAAGAAATAGCTATCAGGTCCAAACAAACATGTCTTTTTATCTTTTAAAATAATTTTTTATCACGGAATTAGACCTACTATTAACGTCGGATTATCTGTCAGTCGCGTCGGGAATACTTGTTACATAACAAAGCATGGTGGTCTTTGGACCAATTAACAATCAACACGAACTATCAGAAAGTAGCAAATAAAGAAACGGAGCACGAAGTTCAGGAATATGGATATATGATTTAAGCATATGGTGTAATTTGAAGTCACATTAGCCTTCAGTCACATTCAAGTGAATGTGCGTCCAGTGTCGTCATATTCACTATCATATTCTCATTTCTACTACTCTAGATATTCACTCAGACAAATAGATGACATTTCTATAAACTTCGGATATTATAGTTCGACAAAAATAACCACTTCTGAAATCATGTATCAGAAACAGAGGTGCTCATTTG